GATGTAGTCGCAAGGGAGCAATTGAATCGAATAGACGTATTGTACCGTAACGCATCGTATTGTGTTTCAAACTTTTATATCATTATAATTTATATGTATATTCCAATTAATATACACTTTTCCGTTTCATGTTTCATGTCTGTCATATTTATCCCTTAATCTTAAACTGAAGCATCGAATATTTTTATTCCTGTCAAATCATATAGATACACGCAATATGAATGGAATATATAACACTTCATTTGTGCTAATAATACTCAGAATTCATGCTTTATCGGTAACGTCGGGTATTGACACTAAAATGATAAGGGGGCTCTGACGCCCTCGAAATATGGGACTGAAAATCTCATTGTATGTTAGGTCTATTCTTATATCTCGTCTGTGATAGAAGTCAGATCTATCCTATGTTTCGTCGGTACTACAGATGTTTTGGTTCATAAAGTTCCGTAAAGAGATAAGTCTATTCTTATACCTACCTTGTTTATGCCTATATCTCGTCTGTGGTAAACCTGGTAAACGGGTTAAACGTAGGTAGGTGTTAGGGATGCGTTATACGGGTTATACTATACCGTTATACGCCACTGTTTGCGATAAAGAGATGGAGAAGAAGGTTATAGACCAGAAAGAGTATTTGAGGAAATATTTGTCTTCGGGAAATGACGAGGACAAGAAAAAGAAGAAGAAGAAGAAAAAGCTAAAAGTGGGACCACAAACGTAAGTATCAATTTACAAATATTATACCTTCCCGTCGCAGTTTCAACAAGGAACCTTTGTGTTTTAGGTTATAATGATTGTTTCGTACGTGTTCCTGGAAATTTAAATTGAAATATTTTGAAACTTTTGTACGATGAACTATAAATGAAAAATATATACTTTAGTAACTGTTATTTCCTTGATTCTGTATTAAAATAATGGTGAACATAAACTTAAATAAGAAAAGGAATGTAATAATCCCAAAATGTATAATATTGATAGTCTGTCGTAAGCTTAGAAAATAATATTATTTATGAAAATTATTCGTTTCTTTGCACAAATTTTGAGATGTGTTTTGCAGAGTAAAGGTCATTGATGATGACATAGACCTGAAGAATATGAGACCAGTTGAAGAGAATGAATTTGATATTTTCATTTATGGAGAAGACGCACCTCAAATTGCTGGTATAGTAGATGAACGTGGTCCAGTTGATTTCTCAGATAAAAGAAGATGGAAAATCATTGCTGACAGTGAAGGTGGAGACCTGACTGTCACCAGTCACAACAGAGAAACTAAACAATCTAGAAAAGATAAAGAAAATTATGATCATGATTTAAGTCCACCTAGAACAAGCTATAAAAAGCATACTAAGTTGGTAGATAAAACTTCAGAAAGTAATAGTGATAGTAACAATGATTTAGAAGCAGACATTTCACCTCATAAATATAAAAAGAAAGGAAAGAGAAAACAAAAAGCATCAGATTCTGATCTGAGTCCACCTAGACAGCGAAAGAATAAAAATTATGACTCCGATTTAAGTCCACCTAGAAAGAATAAATCTAAAAATGATGATTCCGACTTGAGTCCACCCAGAAAGACAACCAGATCTAAGTACTATGATTCGGATTTGAGTCCACCTAGAAAGACTAAATCTAAAAATCATGACTCAGATTTAAGTCCACCAAGGAAGAATAAAAAGCATAAAAAGCATGGAAATAAAAGTGATTCCGATATGAGTCCACCTCGAAAAAGCAGGAAGGATTCTGATTCTGATTTAAGTCCTCCACGAAATAAGACTAAAAATTATGATTCAGATTTGAGCCCACCAAGAAAAAGTAAGAAGGATGAATATGAAAAAAGGAAGTCACATTCGGAATCGAGAAAACAAAGAAAGGTTTCTGATACAGATTTAAGTCCACCAAGAAGATCTGAAAAATATATGGACTCGCATTTAAGTTCTAAACAAAGGTATAGAAATGATGATTCAGACCTTAGTCCACCTAGACAAAGTAGAAAGCATAAACATAGAGATTCACATGCAAATGTAGACAAAGAGAGTAGAAATTATAAACATTCTAGTAAAAGGTCCGAAGGCAGACATGATTCAGATGCGAGTCCACCTGGGAAAAAGAACAGAGGTAGAAGTGGAAGCCAATCTAAGGAAGATAATAGAGATTTTCATAAGAATAAAAACAAACGGAACAATAAGTATGAATACGAAAATTATCACAAAAGGGAAAAGTCTACAAGGGGCATTAATGACCATAAAAAATTGGATGCAAGACACAGGGACGACAGAGAGGATAATGAGAAACGAATGAAGAAAACATTAGATGGAAAAAAAGCAGGACTGCAGGATGCAAAGGCATTAAGAGAAGAAACAGAGGCATACAAAAAGAGAGAAGCTGAACATTTCAGCAAGGTATTTAAATTTTTCACTTCTATTCTTACGATTTCATTCGGGATAAAATTAATAAATTGTAATTTTCAGTTGAGTAAAGAAGTCACTGGTATTGGCCAGGCTGCAATTATGAGAGATTCCAAAACCGGTAGAAAACGTAACTTAAAAGCAGAAGCAGCTGAAGCACGTGAAAAAGAAAAGCGACAAACAGAATTGGATGAAAAGTATGCCAAATGGGGGAAGGGGTAAGCGATTAAAAATTATAAAATAACGTTCTTATGGCAGCAGACAAAATTCTGAAAGTATACATACTCCTTCAGATTAAAACAAGTTGAAGATCGCGAAGAAAAATTAAAAGACGATCTTTATGAAATGAGCAAGCCACTGGCAAGGTATGCAGATGATGCTGATTTAGACAGAAGGCTTAGAGAACAAGAAAGAGAAGGCGATCCTATGTTGGAGTATATCAAGCAAAAACAGATTAAAGAGGGAAAAATATCTAATAAATGTAATTATTATTATTTTAGATCGACCAACGTACGAAGGGTCATACATGCCAAATCGATTCGGTATTAAACCTGGTTATCGGTGGGACGGTGTTGACAGAAGTAATGGTTACGAAAAGCGGTGGTTCGAAACACAAAACGCAAAGACGGCTCAACAAGAGGAAGCTTACAAGTGGAGTACTTCCGACATGTAAAATGTTCACGCTCTTCATTTTTATACAAACTAGACACAGCCTGACGATCACTAACATACACGTTGATTGTTACTCAACAATTACGCATTGGGAGATTGTAAAATACTGCTTGGACTACGGTCTACTCAATAAACATCCCTTCGAGTTCGTTATCAATCCTGGTCGCTATTTTTCATCTGTTCGAAATATCCTTCGAGAAACACGGCGCGCATGCCGAGGAAGCGCCAGAAATACAGTTATTTGTCGTTACAATTTCCAGCGCGAGTCACGCGACGGTAAAACGCAAACGTATGCGCGGGTCGCGTCCACGAGGCATGAATCATCAACGGTGCTGAATCGCGGGAGGATTATCGAAACCGCGAAATCGATATTCGTTCCAGAAAACGCGAGGAACGCTTGAGAGAGAGCCGGCGCCTGTCTGGCAGCGGTCTAGCGAGCATCGGAGTATCCGTTTATGAAATCGATCGTAGCTCGCAAAAAGTATTCTTCTTCGGACGGTACACGGGGGGAGCTTGGGAGTGGCGGGTTGGTCAGACGGTTAAATACAGATGATGCGCGCCGGGTCAAATGTGCTTGGTCAATTGTTTTATATATATGTAAAAAACGCAAAAAAAAAACAAGAGCACTGAGTGTGTTTCATTGTCGCGGGGATTTCGATTGGTGTCCCTTTCCGTTTAACCAAGTTCGTGCACGTTCCGCGGGCGTAAATGTACGTACACACATTGTTATTGGATGGCGCGCACGCAGCAGCAGAACGTGCATGTGTGTGCGCGCACGAAGTCGTAAAGGAATATATATCGACTCGGGTAGTCGCGACGCAAGGGCAGGGTCGTCGACAGTGTCAGTACGCCTCGCGACGTCGACGGGACTTGTGTGTTCGTTCGTGGGTACATTCGTAGAATAGAGGTTTTTTAGTGTTCGCCGGATAGTTGTTTTTCGAGATACTCTATTTTAGGTACACCGATTTTTCTACAGAGCCCGAAAGGATCCCCCGTACGTGACGGGTCCGTGATTCACGATACGTCCAGTTCAAATAACCGCACAAAATCCCTATTTGTATTTTCGTCCTGACGGGCGTGCACAGGAGCCGGTACCACGCCGTGTCGTTCAACTTCTCCCCTCCTCCCCGCCCCTCTCCTCCCCTCTGGCGGCCGTACGAGGAAAAGCGAATTTTCGGAAAAGCTGATTATTGTAGACTGTGATCTTTCGCGGAGTTAACGGATTCATCCTTGTCGCGTGGTGCTCCGTACAGCCGTTTCTCTTTACGTCTCGCGGTGTGCGTCCGAGAGTTTCGTAATCACGGCGTTTTATTCGACTGTTCGATGTTAACGAGGAAAGCACTTAGTCGATCGTAATCGCGAATTATACGTAGAGTGTCGCGACCAACGGTGGGCGTTTGCAATTGGAGGATAGAAGGAATATATAGAAACCGGGAAAGGAATAAAAGTGAAAATGGGATGCAACACGAGCAAGGAGAGTGTTCAGCCGGTTGGGGATGAAGCAAAGGAGGACGTCAAGAACGGCGGTGAGTAATACAATTTTCGTAATAATTTCTCTGCGTTTCGGGGGTTATATAGTGCGTGTCAGTTTTTCTTTTTATTCTAATTTCCAACATGAAGCACAGAAACCGATAGTATATTTAAGTATTACACGGCGATACCGTCACTCCGTCGATTCACTTGTGGAATCTTGGATTTGTGTATGTGTATGCGGTGAACGGAAAAAGTTGCGTCACACGTAACTATATCTTTACAGCAAGTTTTTAAACGACTATAATATTTTATATATTTTTAAGCACTTTATTGAACAGCCCGTTAGTTTCATTGATTTGATTTCCGTCCTTCGTTTGAAACTCTTCGATCCTGTTCTGTGGATACTTTTTTGCAAAGTAATTTTGCGAAAGTGATATGAATGGTTAAAGAAACAATAAAGATTTATTGTTCACGGTGCATTGTCTTAAGATCATATGTTTTTGGATTCTGTGAAAGATTAAATCGGCCATTCACCTTCGTTTAACCTTAACAGCAGCATTTTATTTTCTTTGTCATGATTATTTTCTTCCGTTATGTAGACAAGCCAGTTACATTCCAAATAAGAAATATTTGATTTTCCTTATAAATTATAAATTATTTTTTACAATAAAAATGAAAGATAAAAATTAAAACAAATTTTATAATATTTATTAGTTACATAAATCATTCGTTCATTTTTATTATACATGTATCGGGTACATTTTTGCATTAAATGTCTTACAATAAGAAAACTTAACTTAAAACAGTTGAATTTAAAATTTCGGGAGGATATCAAAGAAAACCGGCAGCGGAAGACGAACATCATTCTACAATTAAGATTCAAAATTTTTGAGGTTAGGGAAGGTGTGTTAGAATTAAATAGTAACAATTTGAAATAAATAAAAGTCATGATAGTGATAGATTTTTCGACAAGTATTACAATGAAGGGTTTTACATATTTTAATTTGATCCACGGTAGTATTATTTTCCTGTAAACTAGTTATACGTCAAAATCAAATATTAAGGATTATGTAAAAATACAATTCTACGAATTAGGAAAATTCTATGATTTAGTAGGAACAATCCTTTTTACCATTGGACAATGAAAAAGTTTATAAGAAACTTTAATATTTAAAAACGGTGAAATTAAAACATAGTTGTAAAGAATTTAGAATTGTGAAGGGAATAGAATATCTGTCGTAGAATCGCACGCCATTAACATTTTTTTTCCACCGCTCACTCCACCACAGCCATTTCCTCTGCAATCTATCCTAATTAGTAAGTTCATATTGTTCTTTATCGCATTTTTAAATTCACTGCATCGTATTTTCATACAAAGGAATTTATCTAAAAAAAAGAAAATAATTTAGTGAGTCTTTATATCTATTCTACAACTAGGGAATCCTTCGAACACACAAAAAAAATAAGAAAAAGACTTGTAGTTTCGAGTTTTTAGACGATTCAAAGGGACACGTCATGTTCGCGTCGCAGCATGACTGTCCAATGTGAACGTCTTTCGTTGTTATTCATAGTTGTTTAACTCTCAATTGGCCGTCATTGTCGCGTCATCATTGTCATTTGTCGTTGAACGGGAGGAAGCGATGCGAAGGCGGAAAAATTTTACGAATAATGCGTATCCGTGAACTCGATCTCTCGAAGCGCAAAAACATTTATACTTCGAAACCGTCGAAAATTCTCCCGGGTGCAATTGCAAGCCCGAGCAACCATTGCCGAGGGATTCGACTAACGAAGCTTGCAATTAAGAGCTTTTTTAATCCTGCAAGAGAGGGAAACACATTTTGAAGGTATTCTTTGTCATATCATGGCGTCCGTGGATACATAATATTGTTCAAATGTATTTTTCTGAATTGCAGATGTTTCTTTGTTTTCGAAAAAGCTGAACAGAAATGTTGAAATATCAAAAGATTCGAATTTATGCGAGTTTGTTGTTCAAGCATTGCTTCATTAAAATCATTAAACACATTTTTACGGTAGTTAGTAGTGTTGCAATTGGTAATTTGTTAATAATTTTCAGTTCCGGGATTTTCGACAATTTTATGTTTGCCATGTATTAAGGTGTAATCTATTTAGAATATGTAAACACGAATTCAATTGCGTTTCTTCAATTTAGAATTCACTTAGTTTCAATTCCGAAAAAAATAGTTTAGATCGATTGGAATTATAACGTTGGCTTCGTAATGTTTGTAGAGTATTATTCAAACGTTTTATTGATCGTATTGTTACAAGCCATAGCTTTTTTTCTTATTCGATTATTAGTCTGTCAGGGCTGTATTTTTTGTTTTGTTTCATACCATTATACTTACACATCGTTTTATGACTCGATGTGAAGCTTAAGCAGTGCTATTGATGTCTGCTACCAACACAGGAGAACTTTAAGTACTTCGTGGAATAACAATCATTTAACCTTTTAATTGATTAATCAACTCGTCGTTAGTGATAAACAGTTGGAATGTAAACTTTGTACTTGCATTGGAATGGTGTTTCGTCAAATCATTAATTAGTGTTTAGTACTATTTTTAGCTTGTTATAGACCATGCAGACAATATAGAACATTTAAATGACATACATTATTTTTTTATTTATTTACACAATTACTTGTTTCTTATATAAAATCGAGAAGTTTTCAAATAATATCGGCAACTGATTGATAAAAGCATTATGTCATTTGTCAGAAATGTTAATAGTTTACTTAATATTAATTAGAGTTTCAAAATTTCTTTTCGGAGCTATGATTTCTGCAATGAAATAAAAGTCAACAGATTCTCGGGATGTCAAGACAGAGAACTATAGAGTCGTTTAAAAGTTTCGGGTCACTTTTTTCGATGAAACTGTCATTTATTAATTTTCTCTGACCGCTATACGGTTGACAGTTATTATACATCCAGTCGAAATGCATTTTGCAGATACTCTGTCTAGATATAGCTTCACATTTTCCCTTAAGAATGAAACTTTTGTCGAATAATATACAGAAAGATGAGAGTTTCGTTTGTTAAAAATTCGAAAGTGTACACATGCACATAAATAAAGAACGAGAACAAATTAATTTCGCTGCATCGGCAAAGGTTTCCACTTTCTTTCTTTTTTCCACATTTAACTTTGATAAATTTAAACTGAAGAAAATATAACTGAACAAAAATTCAAATCATTTCTTTGTAATTCTCAAATTTTTCAAGGAATGAACTTACATAGTCGACGTTCTTAATTGTTTATTAGCAATGGTAATTTTTTTTTTTAAATAAATACGAATCAGACAAAACCATTGGGTATTACGTATTGGCACATTTAATACACGGTGTTTCAAGCTTTTGAATAATAGTGCTATAAATAGATTGTGGATGTTTATGCAAATGATAAATTTTAGATAATAATATATATAAACTAAAATCAGATATAATTCCATTTTCTTGTACTAGAACTTTCAGAATGTTAATAATAATACATAAATAATTATTTTACTATGCAAATTAGGAGTTGCAATAAATGTTAAATATCCGCAATCTAGTTATAAGAATTTTATGGAAATAAATACGAATCAGACAAAAAATTCTGTATTACGTATTGGTACATTTAATACATGGTGTTCCATACTTTCGAACAATAATTTTGTTTCTGGCTTTCTCTATATCAGGCTGTCGTACGGTTTATTTGCGATCACCTCGTTCGTGTCCTATGTTGGTACAAATAAAGTCAGTTTCAGGAGTTAAGGGCTCTATTAGAAAAAAGCTCAATGTTGCGTGCCGCGAAACCTGTGCAACGTTCAAACCCTGAAGGGATGCTTTCGGTTGAATGGAATGAAAATTCTCGGCACGGTCAGGGTCGTAACGGTGCACCATATTTCGTTTGGGTGCTCGAGCACGAAATCTGTTCATACGCTTACAATATTTATGTGTGCGGGCACGATCCGTGGTTATCGTTCACCTTCCTTTTGTCGACTAAACAAAACGGCCGGCGACCATCCTTTCTCCATTCATCGCGTTCAGCATCATTTAGAATTTACTGATTCATATTTCCACAATTAATTGTCATTTTCGTTGCGGCGATGCTGGTCTTTTAACAGGAAATTTCCACAGTAAATGGGAATAACAACGTTCAATGAATTTGGATTAAAGTCTTCATTGATTCGTATAAGCCAGAGACCAAAAGTAACAGTTATTTTAAATATTTTTTGGAACAAATTCAATATTAGTAAATCTCGAAGAAATTGGTCAAAAAATATGGATTTTCACTATTCTGGTTACGAATAAGCAATATAAATGATCGAAATATTTTTGGTTACCAATAACCAATATAAATGATCAAAATATTTTTGGTTACCAATAACAATTATCGATGACGGAAATGGTACATACCAATATCCATAACGAGAGTTTTATTTTGGTTACTTTCGACCATCGTCAATTTTTATTAACGTAATTATCAATAACGCAAAACGAATTATAGAATTTATATATTTTAAGTTAAAATATAGATACGTCAATAAAAATAAGTGGTCATGGATATTGGTTATCGCGTAATCAAAAAAAGGTTCCTGTCATCAGTACATAATGGTTATCGGTAACCAAAATGAAATTCTCGTCATCGTTAATGGTTACATGCAACCCAAAACAATTTCCGTCATTAATAATGGTTATTCGTAACCAATATAATTTCCGTAACCAATATAATTTCTGTAGCCAATAATGATTATCTTTAACCAAAAAAATTTCCGTTATCGATAATTTTATTGTTATTGATAACCAAACAAATTTTGAATCATTTATAATGGTTATTGGTAATCAAAAACATTCACACAAAGATATTAACTCTTATACCGTCACTTTTTAAATTGTGGTTATAATAGTTAGGGTCTATGGTATAAACAATCAAATTCTGCAATACAATTTGGAAAGAAGTTAACGCGTTGTGTCATTTGTAATTTTATTTATATTCTGAAAATAATAATTTTGATATTATATTGAAAAATAGGAGAAAATAATGCGAATTTAATTATTTT